TATATATATATATATATATATATATATATATATATATATATATATATTTCACACACGTCTGATGCCAGACTGTGTGCAAAACAAATCGTGGCACAATAAAAAGAAACGCTCCACGATTTGATGCCATTACGGTGCTTTAAGATTGAAAATTAGAACCCTACCACCGCCATCCTACTTTGATTGTTCTTCAGTTTCACTATTACCCGCTCACGATCTTTGTCGTTTTTGGAATCTAATAAGAATCGGCCTTAGCTAATGGACACTTGGTCTTCATGACTAAGAGCTTTACTCGTCTTGCTGCTCACCACATGCCGTTATGTCATAAAAAAGTCTCCAGGTCAATGTCTATGGAGTGGTGCTTTCCAATAGTTGAAAATGCACTTAAAACTTCAAGATACAGTGATGCTATAATAATTTTCATCTTTTTAACGCACAGACTTTCTGTGAGTTTGTTAACCGTTCAGTCCATAAAAATATTAAAAAACTGCTGCGATACATCTTATTTTGTCCGAATTTATTTGTTCTCAGCCGAATAATGGCAATGGTCCGACTTCCTCGTCCAGCTCGGTCGGTTCCGCAGGAGTTGGACAAATGGAGAGCAGTGCACCAAATTATGCGAAACTAATTCAAGCTGTTTTGGACACGAAGAAAGCCGCTCTTTTGAGATCTCCCGAAGTGGTTGCTCATTTACAGCGACAGCAACGCACATTAGCAGAGTACAAACGTCAGACTGAATTGTTCTGTGCGGATATGAGAAAGTGATTTGTTGCACACCCACACCCACCCACCCCCCCACACACACTCACACATCTCGGTTTACGATTCACTCATACGACCTTCTCGTGCGTTTGATTTTTAGGCTTTCTATCTGCATTTAATACTTACCTTCCCCGTTTTCTTTACTTTTTGTTTCCCTATTTGCATTTTTGCTAAACATTGCTGTACACTATTTTTGTAAGCAGTTTTTAAGATTTATGTTTATTACGTTTCAACGGCATTGTTCTGTTCACTGTCTGTTAGCTTTGGGGTAGAGGTGTCAGTGATCTTCTAATTGCGATCCCTGTTATACTACTGTTTATAGCTTGGTTTCCACGGGCTAACCGAACTACCTGATCCGGTCGGCTATACGTTGCTGACGTCTCTTCCATTAAGTTGTGGACATTTGTATACAGAGATCCATGGAATAGAAGCATGAGAATCCGTCAATCATCAGATTACGATTAATTTTCTTATACAGTGAGAAGATCTCTCCATGGTCGAGAGCGAAGTTATTGCTTTTTATTGGTCTGATGATTTTCCCCTCCATTTGAGCTGCTTTTTTAATCAACTGCATCATTTATGTTCCAACCGTATTTTCTTCATGAGCCATCAATGTTTCTCACTTGCTGGGTACAAAGTCTTTTCTTCTGCAACACTCATTCTGGTAGCCGAATCAACATGGGAGTTATTCTGAAAAATGGAACTAAACGTCCACACCACAGGTACACCAATAATCCATATCTCTTTAGAAAGACACTCAGTAGAGTTTAATATTCCCCAGTTATCTGCTTTGATCATCGCCGATTGATGTAGATCATGGCAACGAGGTTATACTCAGGTGTGACTTTAAGTATGTTATGGTTTATGTTATCTGACATCAAAAATCACATTCGTTCTGTTTGTCACCTTTTACTGGAGTGTATCTGGATCTGACGGTCTTTGGACGCCAGGACTGTCCTCTTAGAAAAGCAAACTCGTATTATCGGTTTAGGAATTTTCTTGTCATTTGTGAATCAGAGTTGTGTACAATGGCTGCTCCTAATAGGAATATTGTGGATTGGCCAAATAGCAGCAGGGTGTGGTACCTCATGAAATCCGAGCAGAGGATGATTACTGTCATGTCCAGATGCGGTTGGCCAGAAGAACTGTGTTGCTTGTTCTGATATTGATCGAATGGGGGGACATCAAATTGTTCGTATGGTTTATAATCGTGGGCGTGTATGTGTATAGAGACTGATTTATTTCTATTTGGGGCAATATTATTTCTGGATTCTTTGTTGCGGTAATGTTATGTATAAATCAGATCGTCATGCCGTGCGCCTATTTGTCTATCATGCATGAAATTGTTCGTCTTCAATTTGTAGCACATGACCGCACATGAAAAATGGGAAGAATTGGGATGGGGGGTGGGTATTGGTGGTGGGGCTGATTAGGAAGAAATCTAAGGTTCACGTGTTTTGATGAGATGCTGTCTCTGTGCGCTACAATATACCTGAGAGGTTTTCACAAGGATTTTTCTGTCTTATCTTTGGCTGCGTTGCTTTTCAAAATACCTACTTTGGTAGCAAACCACTTGACTTTGTCTACCACCTCCTCTTGCATCAATTTGAAACACATCGCGAATACGGACAGACCGATTGCAACATACAGGGAAATGATGACCATTTTCTCCTTCGTATTCTGTGAATCGATTTTTGTGCCTTTATCCGCGGGTTGGGACGCGTACGGACGGTTTGTGCGTGTGCGTATTTGCGGTGATACGGAGATTAGAAGAAACAGGGTGGAAAAAGAAGAAAATATGTTAAGGCAGTGAAGGGCATGAAGAATTCTTAAAAAAGAAACCTGCTTATAGTTATGCATCGGGTACTACCCACGGTATTCGACAGGCTACTTTGAATTTTCACACAACACTTGAGGATTCCAATAAAATCAATGAGTTACCTAAGCATGCACA